TATTATTTAATTATCGCAGAGAATAATGTCTATGGAAAGTAAAATTTTATGGTGCAATTGATGATTTTGATTGGTAATACCCCAAAATAATACAGAGAAACCTCAGATATTCAGAAGACACCCTATGAGCAAGCACCTGGCGACATCTATGCAACACACTTTCAACTGAAATCAAATGAAATACACATATTAAATATTTCACAGTAAAGGTCAAGGATTGGTTAAAGGTAAATCAGAAGTGTAGTCATTTCTATTAACTATATTATAATTTTTACAAGTACCCTTTTTTAATTTCATTTTTTTGTAGTTTTATAATCATACATACAATCATAGTGTACGCTATAATCAGATAAATGAACTGAAAAAAAATATTTAAATTAAACTGCTATTTTTGTTTTTGTACAGTAATGAATACAGACTCAATCACCACCTCCATTCACTTCCGAATTAAGTTTAATCTGTGAGCCAGAAAAGCACCCATATCACTGAATCGGTGAAGGATGTAGACGTTTCCATTTTATTTTGAAAGTCTCCTTTACCCGGATATAAGGATTTAATTTCCGGATCACCCACCACATGTAACAGATACGTTGCTAACGCTGAAATATGTGTCTCTTATGAGATGTGAAGTGTGAGCAGCGGCTAATTGGACATTAGATGTGTGACAGCAGGGAAATCGTCCGACTCTTAAATGCACCGACAGCCGTCTGTATTTGTAGACGCTGCTTTTAGCAAGGTTCGCTAAAGTTAGCTTTCATTGGGAATTTAACACAGTGAGCCCAGTTCACATGTACTATTCAAACCACCGTATGCACTCATCTTTTCACTGCGGTATGCGGCCACTTAGGACCGTACACTTAGCGAATATTTTAAATCTACAGGGTTTAAAGCTTGTTGTTTGCTAATGAAACTTTCTCTGAAGCGGGTTCTTCATCATGTTTACTCGGTGTGTAAGAAACATCCTGTCTAGAAGTGCATTCACTGTGACGCTGAAGCAGCACAGCTGGAGACGCTGCAGCACATCCCAGACTGAGACTGTGGACCAGGTCACTACGTTATTGCAGCTCTGCGTGGACAGGTTCTTCGTTTCTCCTGGTCACGCTAACGTGGAGCTGTTTCAGCGCGGGCTGTGCTGCAGCTATGGACCTCTGGGCATGGAGCTCAGGAGAAACCTGCTGGACCAGTGGTGGCATTCAGTGACTAGGTCCGGAGCTCAGGTTTTTGGGATTAACACCCTGAGCAGCAGTAGCAGCAGCAGCAGGGAAGCACCTACAGGTGGACAGGGCCAGCTGAGGATTGTTGAATGTGAACAGCTGAAACAGAGACTTGGGCAGAAGCAGCTAAGCAAGGGGCGGCTCGCTGAGGAGGTGCACATGCTCCTGCAGAGGTCCCCAAGTATGAGAACAAACTTACTTACAGGTAAGTTGCCTCACACACCTGTAATAAATAATGATGATAATAGAGCATAACATACACGTTTTTATTTCTATACTGAGAGCTAGCATTAAACATGCACAGTAAAGTAATGACACCACAGATGATTTATAAGCTACAAGCAAAGTCACCGTGTATACCAACTGTTTCACGTTATTGCTTTTATGATCTTCCATGTATTTCTTTTAATGGTTTATGAATACTTTTGATACTTGTTTGTCCAGTTTGATGCCAACACTGTGGTACTTTTGTTTGAGTAAGGTGAATGGAAACGAGCTGTTCTTGGAATATTATTTTCACACTGTAGTAAACTCAGTAAGCAAGAAAGATGATGGCAAGAGCTGAAATACCATGTTAAGGATACTGCCAGGACTTCAGTGTTGTGTGAAAGTGCTCATCAGCTTCAGAAACTCAGCTAGTAACATTTCTGTTTAACATGTCTGTCTTTTACATTGTTGTAAAACTAAAAAATAATTTATTTTTTTTTTTTTCAAATTAGTCTTGATGGTTCACGCGTGTTGTTTTGTTTCCAGGTGCCTTGGAGCAGTTTGTCCCCTCGTTAGAGCTGGTGAACAGGAAGCTGCCGTTTGGTCTGGCTGAGACGGGTCTGTGCTTCCAGCCTGCAGAAGGCTCTGGTTGGTGAGGCTTCGTCTGTTGTTTCTTACCTGTGTGAGTGTCTGTGTGGATACACTTATGAAAAATAAAAATTCAAACAAACTTCACTGGGATTTTGTTTCTTTATATTGTTTATCTGAGCTAGACTTTTAATATTAATACAGTATTTCATGAGTTCACATTAACCTTTTTCAGACCTTATGAGGTAAGTATGTCATATTAACACACTGTATATTCTATTTTCTGTCAGCTCAGCTGAGGTCACACAAACATCTCTAGTGTGGTTTTGCTCTCCTCGCACATCGTCCCAGTGGCTGGACCACTGGACACGACAGAGGCTGAAGTGGTGGAGAAAAGTGAGTCTTTGAGGAGGGAAACATCTCAGACAAATTTAAAACGGTGTGATGCACCAGTGCATAAATGTATTTTCCTGTAAGAACACTTTCCCAGCCTTATAAACTACAAACATTAATAACTCAGCTTTTCTCTTTGTTTCGTCCTGTTTATCCAGTTTGCCCTCTCCCCGTCCGACTTCAGCAGCAATGAAGTCCAGCAGGAGGAGCTCGAACAGGCGGCATCTCGCGGTGTGAGGATCATCTACAACTTCCCGTGGGGTCAGGAGGTCCTGGAGACACTGTGGAGTCGAGGAGATGCCGAGCTGCTGCACATACACAAAGGAGACCGGTCCAAACTGCAGGTCCGTCTGCTTCTTTTAGAGTGTGCTTTAAGTCGGGATCGAGATTCAGTCATGTTCCTAAGCTGCTATTGCAGAGGCTCTGGTTCTCTGACAATGTCTTAAAACAGGAAGTCAAATTGATATCAAAAATTCCCTTAGCTCCCAGCTGATAGAGGCTTTCAGAAATCTCAGTTGAACTAAACGGCTTTAGGAAGAAGAAGCACCAGGTCTCATAAGAAACACGGGCAGCTGCTCGTCTGTTGCTGCTTTTCTTCAGTTTAATCACACGCAGTGTCATCTCTCTTACCTGACCTCTTTCAGCATCAAGATGGACGAAGGTCTATTCCTCATGTCGTCTCCGTTACCGCAAACATGGACCGTGGTGCGATGGCGTTTCTGTCCAACTCACTCCAGCAGCTGAAGAGAGAAGAGAGCAAGAAAAAGCTGCACCAGAGAAAGGTGATTGTGCTTAACAGCTCGCTGCACGTGCAGAAAAACTGTCAGTGGGTTTCCTATTTGTGGTGTGACTTTTATTTATGAGATTTGTTGCACTGTTGATTTCAGGTGCTGAAGCTGCATCCAGTGTTGGTTCCCATTAAAGTGGCTTTAAATATTGGTAGAGGAGCCACTGTGGAGCTGAGACAGGTAATGATAACATGAAGTACATGTTGCATGCTTTTTCTTTGTGGAGTTTTTCTGTGCAAATACACATTTTTCACCGTAAAAGGATCTGATTGAATGTGTTCCTTCTGTGGACTTGCATCAAATTGCATTAAAAGTGTTTTAAATATATTTCTTCAGATTTGTGAAGGCCTTCTGCAGGAGTTCCTGGAAGCAAAGATCTCTGTGTGGCCTGGATATCTTGAAACTCTGCCAACATCAATGGAGCAGCTGAATGCCAAGTAAATGCCGTTAAATCAGCACATAATGCAAATTGAATTACGTTACCTTTCTTTAAACTCGTGCCTGTGTGTTTCTGTGTGGATGTAATGCAGATACGATGAGATGGGCGTTCTTTTCACCATCATCATCGGTGAGAACACGTTGGAAAGTGGCCTTCTTCAGGTCCGCAGCAGAGACACAACCATCAAAGAGACCATGCACATCTCGGAGATCAAAAACTTTCTATTCAGATACATTTCTGCAGCTGACAACATCTGAATGCCTCTGCTGTTTTTTAGAACACCTGCCTGAGTTTGCATTCCTTTTAAAGACAAAATTATGGTCAGGGATATGCTTGTGAAACATATTTCCTCAGAGCGGTCCAAAAATAAGAGACTTTTTGGGATAGAGGTGCACATGAACCCACTGTGTGTATACATGTACCCCAAGAGTTTGTATTCTTAACTTTGCTAACTCAGCTCTTACTGATCCTACAGTCTCTTCGCAGTACATTCAAGGCACTGACATGGTTATATCAGGTTTATTTATCTGTGCGTAATTGGTGGCTACATAGTGGTCATGGAGGAGGAAGCTTTTGGATTTGTCTCTACATTTCTATTAAAAGATATGGAATCCCTCTTTAATATTTATATTGTATTGTTTTTTTCTGGTTGTTGATGGCAATTTTGATTCTTGTTTCCTGAAGGTTCAAAGACTGTTCACAATAATGGAACAAGCAGTTAAGAAAATAGTCTTACCGTATTAGTAAACTGTAGTTTAGTTCAAATATAAAGTTAAAATACAGCATGATACCACACAGGTACAGAGGACTGAAACTGCTATAATAAAACACAAATAAATTGGTCATTACATTGGTGACTATCCCTTTATAACCTCTGAATATTATTAATGTTACTTGCTCTGTGGGAGGAAGCTAAAGGCAAAGAGGGGTGGTTTAATTTTATGATGATATAATTTATTCTAATTATAATTAATAGCAGTAGCTGTATTGATAATGATAATAAGAAGATTAAAAGTTTTTTTATTTTTAATTTATTTAGATTGTTTTTGTTTATTTGTTGTTCCGGGGGCGGTGGGGCGTATGAATCGACTGAATCATGAGGCACATCAGCAAAGTCTCGCGAAGTTTGCCCCTTTGCCCCTCCCTGCGCACTCATTGGTCCCTGGCTGCACCTCTGACTGGGCATGTGTGTATGTGTTAGCTGTTAGCGTGTAGAGATGGCCGCAGACAAGCAAAACGACGCTAAAGTTTCCCTAATGGAAGAAAATAAAGAAAACTTACCGGATGGAGGACTTGGACTGGAAAGTATCCTTAAGAACACGACACGTGCTCTTTGACGTTTTCCCTCTGCGAGCATGTTTCACGCTCTTAAGCTAACGTTAGCTTTTAGCTAACTCAGTTGGAAGATAAGCTAGCGGTTATTAGGCTACGTGTCATACTGAAGCAGGCTGTCAGTGGTAAATGGGGATTTTTATGTATTCACAATTTATTTTGGGGGTCTGAGGGCATATTTTAAGATTGCTAGCTATTATGTGATGTCATCTTTGAGTTTCATTAGCGGTTACAATAGTTAAAACAGCCTGTCTTGGTGCTTGCATACAATGACTGCTATCAAAACTGAAACGTTCATGCTTGGAAATAAATGGTAAACTGCCCCTCAGAGTAACGTGTGTGATGGTTACATAAGGTTTGTACCTTGACGTTTAATCTCAGTCTTGCAAATCATCAAAGAATCCCAGCAGCAGCACGGCCTCAGGCATGGAGACTACCAGAGATACAGGTGAGCTGGCTCAGGTCATACATTACAGGGTGGAGATTTGTGTGTGGTGCAGCAGTTTTCCCACCCAATGTAAAGACACTGACATGAGACTTCTGTTCACAATGCTGGGCTCAGATTTATGGTTTAATGCAGTTAAATGGAACAGGTGTGTATTAAAGTTAAACTCAAAGCTTTTGATGTCCGCCTATCTTCGCCACATTTTCATATTTGCGGAGTTTAAGATATAGTGATAGATAATTTATGTTCTTTGATCTTCCTGCATATTAAGTTTCGTGGTGACTTTTTTTGTCTATGTTGTATTTCATTTATTGTAATGTAGAATTTAAAAAATCCTTGTCTGTTTCCAGGGGCTACTGTTCCCGCAGGCTACGGCGCCTCCGCAAGACTCTTGGCTTCAAGATGGGAAACCGACACAAGTTTGTTGGGAAGAAAGTCACTGTGGAAATGCTTTCTGATAACAGGTTAGACTTAGATAATTTTAACTGGTCATTCACGTGTAGTTAACTGGCTGCTGGTTTGGGAACCTTTACATTAAGGAAATTCCAGTTTGAAACACTTAAACAGATCACTTTGCTTTGATGTGGAACAGTTCAGCGGCTTGATGCTTTCACATAAAAAAACAAACTGTTTATACAGCTATGCCACCTTTTTTCAGGTATCTTCTGCTGGTTTTGATGGAAGCAGAGCGTGCATGGAGCTACGCCATGCAGTTGAAGCAGGAGGCCAATACAGAGCCACGTAAGCGCTTCCACCTGCTGTCACGACTACGTAAGGCTGCAAAGCACAGTGAGAAGCTGGAGAAGCTCTGCGAAAGCCCCCGTGTGGACGCCAAAACTAAACTGGAGGCACAGGTACACAGGTCAAATTCATCTTAACTGACCCGTGTAGGTGTGTGGAATAACAAGTGGATGTGCAGCGAGGTCCCAGCCTCAGAGATGAATAACTTTAACTTTTCAATTTGTTGTCTTTCAACTGTAAGATTTGAGAACTTCAAACACTGTTAATTAGAAAAACAGTGCAGAATATTTCATGACGATATTTTATCTACACAGGGACACCAAATATTGATATTTTAATCAATAAAATACTTTTGGAATACTTTGAACAAGAGGGCTGAAAGGTTGGAGGAGGCAGCCTTTCTGCAAACAGTTGCAGTGTGCCTTTGGATTGACTGCAGTTATTCAGGGAAATTGGCAGAGGATTGTGAATAATTGCTTTCTCTAATCTATAAATGCAGACAGATTGTCAGCGGTCTGAATGACTCTGTGTCAGTGAGCACAACTTGAGGGGACTCAACTAAACTGGCTGCCAGCTGATTGTATTCTGGCTATATTCTTGTAGAAAAGAGGGTCATTTCTGTCTGCGTAGACAACAGATTTCCATGTATGTAACTGCCAACTTGACCCTGTTCCATCGCAGACTGATATCAGTTTCAAAGCAGACTGATTCTGTCTTATGGCAACTTCTACAGCAAACTTTAGTGACAGTGTTGTGTACTTATTTTGCAACAAAAGAAAAAAAAAAGAGTTTAACTGTAACTTTGGAGACATAATTTGGAGTTGAAAGAAGATGATAAATTGTAGTACTTGCTACTGCAGATATCACAAAAATGTTAAATCACAATAATATATCATGAGTGAAATAATGTGATAATATCATGGAGAGTCTTGGTGATTCCCACCTTTACTGTTGATGAAGTGTGGTGAGGGAAGGAACAGAGGAGCTCCTCATCATGTGTTGTGGTGTTATTTCAGGCCTACACTGCATACCTGACTGGAATGGTGGAGTTTGAGCTGCAGGAGTGGAAACAAGCCATGGAGGCTTTCAACAAGTGCAAGTGAGCGTTAACATTACTGCACTCTGTTTTTTGTTTTTTAATTCTTCTTTTAATAATGGGAGGTTTTCTTGTTTGTTTTTCTTTCACTTTTTTTAAACCACTGATAAATACTTTTGTCTTGTCAGGACCATTTATGAGAAGCTGGCCAGTGCCTTCACTGAGGACCTGGCAGTTCTGTACCGCCAGCGTGTAGACGAGATATCGCCCAACATTCGCTACTGCGCTTACAATATTGGTCAGCATTGCTGTAGTCGTTCTTCTCAGTGTCATTGTTGATGCACAACACCGATCCTTCCTCTGCACACTGACAAACACACACTCACTCCCTGGTTGTATTTGATTTTAGGTGATCAGAATGCCATCAATGACCTGATGCAGATGAGGCTGACTGGTGGAGGAGGTGGCATGATGGCTGAGAAACTAGAGGTAAACACGAAGGGGTAAAACTTTTGTTAATCAGTCTTTAATTCACGATTAAACTGCTGGGGGGAGCACATACCAAACAAGAATATTACACAGCTGTGTAATTGTGTACTACATCCAGAAGTGTTTGTTTTGTTTCCCTCAAGGCACTGATTACTCAGGCGCGAACCAAGCAGGCGGCCACTATGAGTGAAGTGGAGTGGCGAGGACGCACGGTGCCCGTGAAGATCGACAAGGCTCGCGTCTTCCTGTTGGGTCTGGCAGACAACGAGGCCGCCATCGCTCAGGTCAGCCTCTCACACATTCCTTCTTTTTTAAGCATATAAACAAACTCAGTGGGAAACGCATGTTGTTGCACCTCCTAATGTTGGTTGTCCTTTCTATGTCTCTTGGGCTGCAAACAATGGAAACAACTGCAGAGACATTGACTCAAAGACAATAAGTGAATAGATTCCTTCTGTAGTACAAATATAATCGTGTTCATCACTGGTCATTACCCCTCCATAGGGCTGCTCAATTAATCGAATTGTAATCACGATTACAATTCGATCATTAAAAATGACTGAGCCGATTATTAGCCCCTGCCTCATGCTTTACTCTCCGTGTGGCAAATCGAGCGCACCTCTCTGCATTTCGAACACGTGTCACAACAATTAAGAGCAGCGGTTCCCAACCTTCTTTGCGCCATGGACCGGTTTATGCCCGACAATATTTTCATGGACCGGCCTTTAAGGTGTCGCGGATAAATACAACAAAATAAAACTAGTACCGGTACCGAAAAAAAGATTTATTCATAACACACGTGAAAAGACCCAGGAAAACCGAGTAAACGATAACAAAATAACGCTGAAAACCGATAAAAACCCTGAAAACTATACATTTCACACCTGAGCCTCAACTCTCGCGGCCCGGTACCAAACGACTCACGGACCGGTACCGGTCCGGGGGTTGGGGACCGCTGATTAAGAGGACCCGAGGGAAGCTCGGAAAGCTAAGCAGAAGTTATTTGGAGAGGAGAGTGACTGCCGTTGGTTGAAAAGAGAGGTAAAAAAAACTTCAGTGGTGTGGAAACATTATGGGTTCGCGGAGTCAGACGTGGATCAAGTAGACATAGTGTGTAAACTTTGCTACAGTGTCGTAGCTGCACCACAGAGCAACACTGCAAAGTTCACTAAACATAGATGTTTACATTTTTCATTTATTTTTTATATTGCAAACATTTGCACTGTTATCAGTATTTGCACACTATTTTATATTATTTTTTGACAATCTTTAAAGTCATTATTCAATACATTGTTATTGTTAAATAAATATCGTCAAATAATCGAGATCTCAATTTCAGTGAAAATAATCGTGATTATCATTTTTGCCATAATCGAGCAGCCCTACCCCTCCCTATGTTTCCTGACTGCCTCATGCAGAGCTACTATCAGAGACTACCCAGTATGTATCACAACACTGATTCTGTGTGCTCATATGACCCATTTAGACTGCTTATAAATGCCAACGTTTTAATTTAATGAATTCAACCTTGTTTCTTATTCTCCGCTGCCACATGCCTTTTATATCCTTAGAAGGGGAGCCTGTTATTTTTGTTTTCACTTCCAAATTCAGGGCCACTTCTATATTTTCATTCTTAAATTGGGCCTTGATTTGAGTTTTAAGCTTATAAGGATTATTTGCATATAGATCAGGTAGTGACAAACATAATTCCTGGGTACAGACACTCCAGTCTTACCTGTTGGACTGAGTTGGAAAATGTCTTAAGTGTTTTAACTATATTTTCATAAGTTTGGCAGCTTTTCCAGCTGTTTAAGACCTCGTATGTGACCATTCATACTAAAACAACACAATTAAGTGATAGTTAAAGCAATTAAATGACTACTTTCACTATCTATAAGAGAAATAAAAGAAACTATGATTCTTTTTCAGTGAATTCAGAGTAAAATTAAAATTTCTGTGAATTAACACTTTGTTTTATAACTTTTTGTAATTTTACATATTAATTTTCTGTAATTTAAGCCTAAAGAGTCGTGCTGACAGATTCTTTAATTTACTACAGCGGCATTTCTTTATCATGTACTGAAAACGCTTTTTCTTTTATTAAGACGTCTCATTGATTAAATGTGTAGTTCCACTTGTTTACAATGACAGCAAGGGCAGTTTCACTTGTCCGCCTCGCTTAAGATCAAAGTATGTAAACAGATCACAATGTAAAATGAGTTTGACATCCCTGATATAGATGAGCTCGATATCCAAAACCTTTGCATGTTTTCAGTGACTGTCCGTTACAGTAAAAGTGAATATATGAGAGGAAATAAGTAAAAGCATAAAAGTCTCTTCTTAACTAAATAATCTTTCATCCTGCTGGAGGCTGTCGGGTACTCGTCAAGCATTAAAACGGTTTAATAAAACCATAAAACAACCCTGAGAGCACTCAGTGCAGTTCCATAAAATCTCAGTAGGTGGCACTCTGCTCTTGATAGTATCACATGTCCCCTCGCTGTCGCCACAGCTCATTACTTCTGTTTTGTGCCCGAGTACTCAGCACACCCTGCAGACACACCTGTCACACCCATTGCCACTCAGGTCTCAGGCATGCAGCTGCTCTCATCACACAACTGCATTCTACGCATTTCACCTCGCACATGAATGCAGGGCTACACCCAGCAGCTCATTTTAGTTTCAGATGGAGCATTTTAGGTCTGACTGTCGCATAAAAGGCGGTTAAAGGTGGCTGTGATTGACTGTGTGGAGAAGAACTGCGGCGCTGGCAGTTTTTTATCACATTTGGCTTTTCTTATTGGTCACAATTAAAGGATTTTTGCATAGTATGCACATTATATTGTGTCACCTTTAGCTTCACAATGTGCACCTGTTCTTCTGCTTGTGGCCTCAGGGGACAGGAGACACTGTAGGGCCAAATGTCAACCCTAGTTGAAGGGCTGTTTCCTCCTCTAACCAGTGTATCCATCCAGCCCTCCTGCCGAACAGCACAGAATGCTCAACAGGTAGAACTGGCTGTTCTAGGCCTTACTAGGGTGTTGGCACAAGTGTGAAACGCGTAGCAGCATCACCTTTCTGGGTGGGAGAGAGAAGGCTTGTGAACAATCTGTTATCAGGTTTGCCACCACAAGGAATTGTTTTGTAACATTCCTCTATTGTGTTTTCTCAACTTTTCGCAACAACAGAGACACAGTAATGTAATCCACAAAATCTTTTAAATACTTAAAACAGATATTTTTATGAGTGATCAGTCCTTCTGTAATTGTTTTATTGCTCACACTTTGCTTTTTTCCAGTGTTAGTAAAACCCATCCTGCATCTTTCTGAGACTATCTCAGTTTAACACAGGCCTGTTGTATTAGTGTGGCGATGAAAGACTGCTTAGATGATGAACAATCGAGTCATTCTTAAAGACCTGAACCCTGAAACTATACAGTGTCTTAACTGCTGATGAGTTATGTGCAGGAATGCATCAGCAGCCTGCCGGGCCACATACCTGCGTCTCTCCCCGAGTTTGTCAGTCGCATTCCTGCTTTAACTGTTGCTCTTTGTATCAAAGTACTAAAACTGTTACATGCATCAAATGTTTGCTTGATCGCGTTTTAAATGAGATACGTCTGCACAATCTGGTAGAAACCTTTTATGATCTGATCAAGTTTCAGCCAAATCTCATCAGTCTGGTTAAATGGCTGCTATCGCTGCGTAAATCTGCTTGGAAGTTATTCTGCAAAAAGCATAAAAAGGATTTGTGAACATCTCCACTTTCAGTCTGCATGTTAAGAGGCGCGACTGCTTCCTCCCCTTCTCCGCTCTGCCTGTGTGTGCCTAGGATGGCCTCAGAGTATTGAGTGTTCTTTTAGCTGAAAGCCGTCTTTGTAGCTACAAGAAAGCAGAAGAAAAGCAACTGAAAGTGTTAAAGTATGTTCCTAGCTGACCTGTGCAGAGAGCTGAATCGAAGTAAGGAGATACATGGAAGCCAAACTGGAGGCTGAAAAACTGCTTCAGTGCGTTCAGTGTGTCGTGTTACTGCTGAACCTGCATTTTTGATAGGTACTCTGTTTTTACTTTCCAGAGTCATCTATTGTACATCATCTCATCTTCAGCACCATCCTCACACATAGGCTTCACCCCCTGGATTTTCCTCATTGTTGCCAACTTAGACATTTAGTTGCATTCAATCTATGATCTTTTAAAAAATGTAAAGACCGTGCTGGTACGATCTGAGACGTTTCTCTGCTTAGAATGTGAAACACGCCCGTCTCCCTCCTTCTCTACTATTCAGTAAGTTCTACATTATTTTTTTTTTCCTTTATCCTCATCTTTGGATCTGTTTGTGTCATTCAGGCAGCTAATGAGGAAACCAAAGAACATCTGTATGAGACCCTGCTGGCCGAGTGCAGAGACACCATCCAGGCAGTGAAAGAGGAGCTCAAGACTGAGGCGGTAAGATTCAGCAGGATGAAAAGCTGTGATGTTGACAAGAATGAGAGGTGGTGAAGATGTAGCTTGTAAATACCTGAAACTGGGAATACTAGAAGGTTCAACTAAAGAGCTTTTTTTTTTTTTTTTTCCTTTTTGTAAATCTATCAATTTTTTTTATCACTGTAGAAACAGCGAGAGAGGAGCTCTGATGGTGACACTGGGAAGGTGTCCAACCTGCAGTACCTGCACAGGTAAAAAAGGAAGAAAAATGTACTTCGATTTTACTCCTGGTTCTGTTAAGTTAGTCAGTCATAGGATTAGAGCTGCAGCTAAATGCTTTACCACTTATCTCAGTAAGTCAATAACACTTTGATCATTCCCCTCCTCGTCTCTTCATGCAGACAACACTGTAACACACAGATCTTCAGTTTATTGTGAAATTACAAATACATGCTCACTTTTGGGAGGATGAAATCGGAGAACATTTGGCTGTTTGGAAACATTACTAGCAACTTCTAACATCTTTTGATAGACAGACATGTATAAACCTGTCAGGTCGGGGCATCATTAGGCTGAACGCGTGTCGGGTGAGTCTGGTTCAACTTGCAGAGCGCCTGTGAGGCATGTTAATGGTTCCTGACGATGTCTGCAGTTGATTCAGCCGAGGTTTACAGACCTGATGAGTTTAAAGGGATCGCACGCCGTAAGTGAATAATCACTGCTGCTCTTCTCTTCCAGCTACCTGACCTACATTAAGCTGTGTACACTGGTGAAGAGGAATGAGAGCATGGCTCATACTCTGCAGGCCAAACTGAAGGAGCCCGAGGCCGACGAGAGCAAGAGGGGGCCCCGTCCACAGGATCTCATCCGCCTGTATGACATCATCCTGCAGGTGAATGTCCTGTTATCAAGTTCTGTCTCTAAGTTGTGTGGTTCTATTGAAAAAGCAAAGGTCTTAGGTGTACAGCCTGATGTTTGTGTTACCACAGTTACATGATGTGCATCTTGTGTTTTTGTTTTTGTTTTTTTTTGGGTTTTTTTTTCCCCCACCACCACCACCACCTCCAACTATCCAGAGTCTGGCAGAGCTCTCCACCCTGCAGGGTCTGGAGGATGACCACACCTTCCAAAAGGAGGTGTCCCTGAAGACCCTGGTCTACAAGGCCTACAGGTCAGTGTTTTTGTGCCTGGTTTTCAACATGTTCTGCATCAAACAATGCAGCTGAAATTCAAACAGTGCAACAAGTGTCGTATTTACAATCGCAAATACACCTGCGTCCTGATGTGAAAAGTATCTCTAAGCTTTGTTCCATTTCACATTTCCATGAAAGCTTCTGCAGTTCATAAACCCACATGTTGTTAATGAGCTGCTTTCTTTGGCCTCCTGCAGGTGTTTCTTTATAGCCCAGTCTTATGTGTTAGTGAAGAAGTGGAGTGAGGCGCTGGTGTTGTATGAAAGGGTGCTGAAATATGCCAAGGAAGTCCAATCTAAGGCCAAGAGCCTCAACAACAGCCTCAAGGTTGGTTTAACATGCAAGCAAACACACACACACCTCAAACATGAGTCATGGCGTTACTCATTGTGGAGGCCTCTTTTCAAAGCCTCATCTTTATCTAGGTTGCCATTTTAGTTGTTTACAACACATTATATTTAGACAAATAGATGTTATTAAAAAGCTTTATGGATCACAAAGATGCAGATGCCTGCTAATCTGTTCTAAGTAACACTAATAAATTGCTAGATTTTTAATCACCTGCTGGTTAGTATAAGTAACTGTGTAGCAAACCATGTTGTTTGTTAGAAAAATGCAATGAGACCCGAACACACGGTACATCAAAGTTTAACAAAAATATCACTGCGCTACGTTAATTTGCATTCATCATGAATTTCTGCAGGATCTCCCCGATGTCCAGGAGCTCATTGCTGAGGTCAACGCTGAAAAATACTCACTTCAAGCTGCTGCCATTTTAGGTGCGAGCCTCTAAGTCGTTAAACAGTTAAACCAGCAGTCGTCTTCTCTGTTGTACAGTCCTGAAGAGATGTGTTTGTGTTTCAGACACCGACGAGATAGTTGAAGTTCCTCAGCAGCTGGTGAAAGACAACACGGTAAGAGGAGGAAGCCTCAGGCTGCTCAACACTACAGCCGTACACAGACACATGGTTCTTGCACGTTTGTGTCTGTACGAATAAAATAAACGAGCTCTGTGGATTAATTACTTATCGGTCATATTACTCCTGAAGAGCCGAGGTGAAGCTTAATTTGTATATTTGCGTCTAACAAACTGCAACATAAAAACTTGAAAAGTGGTTTTGATGATGTCATTTAACGTTTATCTATTTTTGTGATAAAACTTAATTTTTAGGAATTTCAATAACTGGAATAAGTTTGAGTGGATCTGTCACAGTCTGCTCTGCAGTAGCTTTAGTTGCATGAGTCCAAGTTCGAAATCTCATCTGTCATGCTGGCCTTGGCCTAACGCAAGCAGTTTCTACTCCTCTCGTATCAGGCCAGCTTTCTTCTGATTGGTTGCCCATCACAGACACAATATTTGAAGAACAAAGGGGCGGGGCTTGTGCTCTAACAGACAGAGCTGAGATTAGGGATATCCTCTTTTTGGAAAATGAGTGTTTGGAGCAGCAAGGGATTATTTGCACATATGCTAATCTCATCATTTTAATTTTTGTCCATGCTTGATGTGATCTGCCATTTTAACATTTATGACAAGAAATGCAGTTTGATGAGGTAGTCATCACTCCATTTTCTGCTGCTTTTTTTATTTTATTTCTTCATTTAGCTGAACTTTCTGTTCCCTATGATTCCAGTGCTCTCATCTCCTCACTTCTTTTTCACGCAGCCCCTCTGTGACCACCTGGAGACCTTCCGCTTTGACCCCAGTCTCGTCGGAAAACAGCCCAGTCTGGTCCAGTTCCCACCCGACTTCCAGCCAATACCCTGCAAGCCTCTGTTCTTTGACCTTGCTCTTAACCATGTGGCCTTCCCACCGCTGGATGACAAGGTGGAACAGAAGGGCAAGGGCGGTCTGACTGGCTACATCAAGGGCATTTTTGGCTTCGGCAGCTAAACCTAAACCCACACTTCAACCTCCATGTGAGAGCCACAGGGCCCAGAGTTTACTGCAACCAGCCAGAATTGGGTCAGCTGTTAGTTAGAATCATTTCAGTTTGTCTTTTATGTTTAATTTTTAGTGCCTATGTGCAGAGGGGTTGGAGTTGGCAGTTCTGAGGAAGACGGAGTCAATATAGTCTTCTCGGAAAGATTAATGAAATAGTAGCACTATGACCCAAGTCCACATCCAGCTTCAGTAATCGTATCAGCCTGCATGGCTTCACAGCATACAGGCTCCCTCCTTAAACTGAGCAATGGAGGTGTTGGCAACTTTTAACACATTAATATGCCGTGGTTTTGATGAGTGAAGTCAAGCTGTCAATCTCACGGTAAAAGATTAAATTTTTTCCCTCCTGTGTTTTAAATGCGCCTTCATATTGTGTTTTTTTTCCTTTTGTAAATGGATTGTTCTGCATTTTTCTTAGCCCTCTAAAAACAAAAAGATATGTTTTGATCTCATCAGCCTCAACATTAATTACAAGACCTATAGCTGACCAAACTGTAATCATCTGTATGATTTCATCAGTCATCACAAACTAAAGTTTGTCCTCTTAATCTTTGCCCCTTGTTGCTTTGACGGCATAAAAATCCTCATAAACACTGTACAGCCACAAGACCTTGTGTTGGGACAAGAAATGTCAGCTTGCTCAGGTGCCTAAGAGTGTACTCGCACTGAGCTGCTCCTCCCAGTGTTCAGTTGTTTTGACCGGTGTGTAACTGTTAGAAGAAAACAGGTGGCCATGGGTCCGTAGCTGAAACGCTGCTTCAACATCTCAGTTATTAACCAATAAATCACTGGTAAATAAAGAACAAGGTTTCACTGTAAGTGTGCCTGTCTTTAACTTTAAACTCTATAACGTGAACTGTAGCACGTGTCTCTGAGTGGAGAGGAGATGTTTGAGTTTGGGTTTAAGGAAAAATTGGAAGAAAATCTTCAGAGCATAACCTCCAGAAACATACTCGGGCCTGAGTGCAGGCACACGAGGACAAGTGTGACAAGTAGTCCTTTAGTTGTTCCACTTGGTTGTGATTTAGTAGCGGCGAGGATCCGAACATGTACAACATCCAGTTCCTCCTAAGTGCCCTGTGGGTGGGCACCACATCATAACAAACAAAGCTGTCACTGTCAAAGGTGTAGGGGCTGTCCCTCATCTGCAGATGTGATGTACTTTTAATCATCGCAAGAAGAAATTTTTCCAGTCTGTGGTTTTCTGTTTTTTCTTCTCTGTCATCCTATGTCATTGCGCCAAAGCCTCTCGAAACCCAGCCTCTGAATTCAGGAAACTGGGACAGGGCTAGCATGACTAATGACAAAGCTATGAGTCACAGTTTGAAATGATCCTTTCTGAATAAAAGAAGCTGGATTGGCCAGTGTTTTTATTTCTTTGGTAGTTCGAGCCTAAACTCACCAGGCAGTTCATTAGATGCACTAACCAGCTAGAACTAAAGCAGTCACATACAACACACACTGCAGTAAGAGGCTGCTTATTTACAGTCATAATAATGGCGGCATTCCCTCCATGACAGTTGTATTATCCTGCTTTAGTTTTAGCTACTTGGTTTTTTTGTACTTTGTTGCATTTTTCTTGCCCTCAAACGTGACGTCCTGTCAAAGGTCCAACTGCTTCAATAGCGTCGTCTCGCTGGAAGTAGAAAGCTCTTTAAAGGTCCCTCTGCTACATGTTTTCAAATGGTACCTGCTTGTTGACGGCAGGTTCAGCTCATGAGACTGTAATCTGTTACTGTAAAGCTTTTAATGGTGTGTATTTATCTACAAAGGACAGTGGCAGACATCAGGACACTGAAGGAGCTGTTAGCAAACTTTCATTCATCCCATTGCCAACACCACACCTCTGTCTGTCTGTCATGGGAAGGACTACAAAAATGTTTTCATCACCTTTGACATGTCTGTGGATTTTCTGTTTTACATATTTGTCGGGATGTATTGAAACCCCTGATCTTTATGTGACCTGGTTTGCCTGTGAGACTTGGTGAAACACTAGGAAAGGACGGTTTCAGTCTCACTAACATGTTTAACTTTTTTTGTTTTTTTTTTTTTTTGTTGCTTAATTTTGTCTTCACCCCCCCCTCTTCCCTACTCAAGTGTTTTTACGCTAAGTAAGATGGATGGGCTGGAACAGTTCCAGCACTTTACCTCGATTAGCCTGGAAAACAAAATAGCTATAATCTGTAGATGCTGGAAACGTTTGTGTGTGTGTGTGACGAGAGTAATGAAATGAGGAGATCGTATGATTTCATGTAGTTTCCAGCCTGGTAATTAAAGTATATTTGCACCAAATGCTGTTTTTGTCATTCTTCATTCACATTTTTCTTTTTGGCTGTATTTATTTTGATCAGGCATAGTTTGATTGCTAAAGAACTGCTGTTAAACTGACGTGTTCTGAGGACAGTAGGCATGGAGGTGTGTGTGTGTGTGTGTGTGTGTGTTCAGTTGCTCCTGTGTTAGGGTGTGGGAGTGCATTGGATGCCTGAGCAGGGTGTGAATGTTTAGCTTTACTTTGTTTGTGCACTGAAAAGTGAGAATAATGATATAGGTGTGTTTATTAACCTCGATCTGACATTAGTGGGTTTTGGGGGTTTTTTTGGGGTGGGGGGGTCTCCCCATCTTCTAACCAAGAATATTCCGTGGTAAAAAGTCCCCCCAACCTACACATGCGCACTGTAACTGTGGTATTTCAGAAATGTGTACTATTTAGAATAGACTGAAAATATTTAAGCCTTTATGGGGTGGAGATGAATGCTTATCTGCAGAACAAAACCAAAGGCTAAAACTGTTGAACAACATTCTGTGTTACTGTGTTACGCATTTTCCTCCAAGAGAGGTCCAGAATTTAGAATAACCATCAAAGCTATGAGCAGACAGCTGTGCTGTGTGTAAGGTGAATGAAGAGGCTGGCACACCCTTGCAGTGTCGCTGCCTTTGTTGTTTCTTCTCTGTTCAGCTGTTTGGAATTTACAGGTATACAGATACATAGTTGCTACATTAATGTGGCTCAAAATGAGCTGCAGGATGTGTGTGAACTGCAGGTTTGACATCCGGAGAAACGCCTGACCTTTAATCCCGAAGAATCTTAATGATTGCTTTCCACGAGGTCTTGCATTTGTGGTGCAGACATTTGTCTCCCTGCTCAGGGGGCATTTGTCACTAAAAAACATGAGTGTTTTAAGGGGAGGGGTGCACACCAGCATTTTTCTTGTGTTTTTTGTTTGTTTTGTTTTTTCCCCTCTTATACAGGTTTAAGTATATGTTTTCAAAAAACATACAAAATCAATAAAAACTTGAATGTAAAAAATAAACACGAGTGTTGTCATGCTCTTCAGGGACGCTGGGATAAAGCAGACTTTTTTTATTCTTCCTGTTATGATTGCCACAAATAAAAATCAGCATTTCATGATGAATTAGAGCAGGGGTGGGGAACTCCAGGCCTCAAGGGCCGGTGTCCTGCAGGTTTCAGATATCACCCTGGGTAAACACACCTGTATCAAATGATTAGTTCATTGCCAGACAACTTCAAGGCAGGTTGAAGAGGTAATTTAGCCATTTAAATCAGCTGCGTTGGATCAAGGACACGTCTAAAACCTGCAGGACGCCGGCCCTTGAGGCCTGGAGTTCCCCACCCCTGATATAGAGGAAAATGACCCCTGTCTATGCGTCATTTTCAGCAGCTCACTTGAGGTTTAAGATGAAAGTATTGCTACAGTTTGTTACCTGGGTGCAACCACAATATACAATATATGTGAGCAAGTGAAAAAGTATGTTACTCCAGACACGTAGACCCACCCAGAGAGAAACGTTGTGTGACTGGACCAATGAGCACAGCGTGCTCTCGCTGTTGCAACGCTGTTGAAAGCTGCTTAGCTACATTTTTTCTCGTGATTTCCAATTGTTGCTATGCAGCAGAGAGACGCCCTGATCTGGAATAACTTCCACGTCTTTAGATGCTGCACACTAAACATTCCAGTGTATGGAGCAACCTGTAATCAGTAGATTTATGGCATGTACCACTATATGAAAGTGTTATGTAAATTACTTTCTGACCCTTTGGATGTTCCACTGTTGACTGTACACAGTGTCCCTCAGTGTTTGTGGCACAGGTCTGCTCCAAGCTTTGACTCAGGCTTAATAGTGAGGTGTCAGGGTGACATAGCCAAATGAGAACGACTTAATTTCCTTGTTATAAATTCAGGAAAAAAAGGCTCAAGGAAGAAAAAGGAAAAATCAGAAAGGGGAAAAAAAATTGATCTCACTGTGTAAACTATCGTCTCCTGAATATTCTCATTAATTTGGAGCTCTCAGATTGGGAATGCTGTGTTTTTTTTTAGTTATGGTAGCAGAGAAATTTCTTGGATATACTAATGCATCAAGTTGCTATTGTCTGGCAGTAGATAGAGTTTTCCAGCATGCAAGACAGAAACCTATAAACGAAATTGTCCCAGCAGATGTCACCTTTAAATAAGTCAGTGCGATTTCTATGAGGTATTTAGTCTCTGTTTATGTTTCCTTCATGGTAGTGTGATTATTCTCCAGCACATTTCTTTCCAGGATAATAAATATATCCTTTATCTCTGATCCCAGGGACTTAACAGGATACAGAGGTAGAGAAATATGGGATAACATAAAGACCATTTGTTCTGCGTCCACTTATCACTCACACATGGAATCACTTCTTTCTTTGATTATTTTACTGCTGCTAATTATTTCTACACACGTCTTCCATATAAATTTTTAATGTTCTAATACTCAAGTAAAATGTAACTATAATAAAGGAAGGTGTGGTTGAAAGCAATTAGCTGTTACACATATATTTAGAATAATGGATGCTCATATATAACATGAAGCAGGTTATTAGCAATGAGGTCAGCATGTAAACCAAATGCTCAGTTTCAGACAGATATCAGGCCGAGAGGATCATCTCGGGCACACAGCTCTGATGTGAACTCGTCTTTAGGTTTTAAAACAGGTTGTTTTAGAGGTCCAGTTTCAGTCCAGGGATAAGACAAATAATAACATAATAAAATAACAGTCCAAAAATAAAAACATTGAGCTGGAAATGAGGATAACCTTTTAATAATTATCGCACATTTTCTTTTTCACACAGCATGTCCTCATACTGGCTTCCTCCCCTCACCCCAACCAGTCACAGGACATGGCCGCCTCCCTGAGCCTGATTCTGGCAGAGGTTTAAACGTTTTTCCTTGCCACTGTCGCCAAAGCACTTGCTCAAAGAGGGGTCATATGACTGTTGGGGTTTTCTCTGTATTATTATAGGGTTTTTACCTTACAATAAAAGCACCTTGAGCCACTTGTCATTATGACAAAACCAAATTCAATTAATGACAGTCCAAAAAAGAGATTTAATCTACACTGGGAGAAAAAAAAAAGTTAAAAATTGTAAAAATGCCTTTCAGACCAATCAACAGTGAGCTGTTGTGCCAAAACTCCTCCTGTGCTACATATTTCAGACATTTCAGAGCTGTAACTGTCCTTCTTCAGAAGTAAAAATGTATTTACAATGCAAATTTTACATGCGATTAAAAAAGGAAACAAATTGCAAAGATTACACAAAAATAATATATTCTTTTTAAAAATATGGATAAGTAAATAAAAAATATATAAGATGGGATAAAATAAATAAAAGGGGATAATGCTATATTGATTCTACATTAAATGTAATATTCATTAGCCGTATGCGTCACTTTACACAATGTGGATTACACATATGGCAAAACCTTGAAAATATATGTGTGGTTGTGTGTGTGTTTTGCCATGCTCACAAGGTTTCACCAACATAGGTATCAATAAAGGGGAATCTGGTGCCTCATGGGTTTATTATTAGAATATATGTCGGTTTTAAAAAAAAATTCTTTCAATAGATATTTGATATCAGCGCTGCGCTGAGTTTGTTGGCAGAAACAGTATAACTGTTTAGCCTCAGTTTATTTATAATATGAATTACTGTATGACTTTATGATGTAGTCCACAAATGAAACAGAAGTGGATCCAAAACTAAGCCCTGAGAGACCCCATATGATACACAAACTTTAAATAAGACAAGAGCAGCTCAGAAACCGTACCTCTAATGGGGGTGAGTTATGTAATCACCTAGGACAGACCAGATCAGACACTTTAGGGCTGTTTGATCCAATGTTAACAATCATTAAGAATCACATGTGTAAAATATGGATACATCAGTGCTTTTTCAAATGGCCAGCAGTGGACAACTCCTCTGGAGGAAAAAAGAAATCAACTTATATAGAAACCTTTTAAAAGGGCAGTTCAGCTTCTCTTACAAACGGCTCAGTATCTTGGTCTCTATTTTTAAGGGTTTTGAGGTGTGCAGGACTTTACGGTGATGTTGCAGTGGTCATTTCAATCTTTTATCTACAGTTTATGCAAACAAGACTGTAAGGCCCAATTTCTGTGCTGCTACCTTTAAAACCAGACTGGTATTATTCTGGTATATTATTGGTATTATTCACTGAAGTCTTGAAAGGCCAGAATTATTATTTATTTTTTGGGGTAAACGTGAAATCGAGTTGCCTAATATTATGTATCCTCTTATACGAATAACCTTGAGAGAAACCTTGTGACAAAACTCACCTATCCCTTTAAGGAATCAGATTTGCAGTTCAATACCATTTTGGGTTTGTAGCGCTGGATCATTTTTCAGCTCTATAATTATCCCAAGGGATATAATCTTCACAATGCGTGTGACACACAGAGCCGAGTGAACAGTGCAGGAATGGAGTGTTTCCCTCTGGCTTTCTGAATTATGCATTCCTGCTTTGTTGGTAATTAAAAGACCTGTGCGAGTTTGGAGAGTGTGTCAGGGGCCCAATGAAAGGAAGGGCTGGCCTGAAGAAGGGAAGAAGAGAGGGAGAGTGCAGAGAACAGGTCGGTCCAGTCGTCCTCTGCAAGGTGGATGTTTGGGCGTTGACACACCTGTTAACCTGTTTGGGAGGAGCCACTGGCATTAAACACCGTGGTGACATGAGTGTGTGTGTGTTTGTATACTTCAGTGTGTTTGACAAGAACCAGAGAGAGCAGGAGTCAGAGACGAAGAAGGAGTGAGACAGAGAGAGAGTGAGAGTTTTTACTCAGGATCTCTGCTTGACATCCGCCAAGATGTTTAAGAAAAAGGAGAGCTCCAAGGACACTAAGAATGGTACACTCAAGGTCTCGGGGAAGATCAGCAAGTGAGTTATTCACTGTGGATTTTATGAATGCGTGTATGAGTGTGGTGACACTGTATCTCTGTCATGTTCCTCCTGTTCCTG